AGAGAGAGAGAGAGAGAGAGAGAGAGAGAGAGAGAGGGGCAGAGGAAATCAGAAATCAGATACCAAGAACATCTCCTGCCCTGAAGCGCTTGCCGGCAGGCCAGCTAACCATGTTGAAGGTCCAGCCACGGCTGTCACCCACTGTATAAGTGGTGGCAGCGGTGCTAACCTCCAATAGGCAAATCATCACAAACACCAAAGCCACCAAGCTCATTGCACTGCCCCTTCCCTGTGCCATCTCTCTCCAACTTTCTCTCTCTAAGGCTTAGAGGTAGGCAGAGCTTGTTATAGATTGATGAGAAAAGGGAGCAAGCGAGGGCCAAATTTATAGGATGGAATGATGGCCTTAGCAAAGAGAGTAAAAAGTCTCTAGGATTATAAATTCATGCCTGGTGGCTTCTCTTTCCCCCTTTTATTTTTATTTATTTAATCATGCGCATTAAGCAAGTTGGGATGCGAAGGGGTCGGCCAACTACCCACATTCACAGTGGCTCTGAGATTAGGCAATTTCCACTTGTTGACCGCCGTCAACTGGGGCGAATAAATAATTGAAAGCATTTTATAACCCGAGCGAGCAAAATGTAGATTTGCTCTTCAAATATCATCCTAGATTGTGTGTGTTTTTAAGACGGTAAAATTTGGGGATTTTACATTGCTCAACCGCAACGAGCAGGATTTGCTTGCTTTGTCATTATAAAAATGCATGCCCTACAATGTACAATACAAAATGTTCAATTACAATATAATATAAAATGTTTACTAATGGCCGTGATTAAGGTATAGTGGATCCCCACAACAACGTGATGTCTTGTGTTTTATTCCTATTAAGGGTAAGAGACAATATCCCCACTAAAATTTTCAAAAAAATATAAACTGTGGACAAAAACCCCCTAAAAGAAGAACTATAAAAGGGTATTTTTAGGTAAAGATAAACTTTATTTTAAAAAAAAAGACTAAAAAAGAAAAAAACACACCCCCCCACAAGCACTAGAGAAAATGATGTGAATTGATTAAGTTAGGACTATGTAATTTTTGGATAGTCAAAACTAAGCATAACAACTGAAAATCTCATATGATCATGTAAAAAATGAATTCCAACTTTCCAAATAAAGAAGATGTTCCCGAGTAGATCTCTTTCCCATGGGAATAATTCTAGTGTGCTCCCAAGCAGTACCCCCGTAAAATTGTTCTTTCAAGACGCTCAAGGGGGTGCTAAAATATTTAATGCTGTAATGGGTTTTTGACTTTTGAATAAAAAATTCGTCAAAGTCTCTGATTCATAAGTCCAAAAGTGCGAGAGCGCAAAAGAAGGGCGAGTTGTCCGCATGTCATGAATTGGTGTGGCCCTTCATGTCATCTTTGACTCCACTCCCTTGCTTTCTTTTCTTGAAAAAATTGGTTCATTGTGGGGTGCATTTCTACCCTACGTGATCAAGAGGTACAAAGCATTCATCTTCAACATATATGTAAATAGGTGGTCCATCTAAAACCATTGTATCTAGCCGTCCAAATTTTTTTTTAATATAATTATTGTTTTTTATTTTTTATTTTTAAAAAATCATATTCATAATCTCCATATTAAAGATTATATATTTTTTTAAAATTAGTATCAAATTATAATATATATTGCCAAGCCAACATTTCTACAATATGCGGGCGGACCGCATACAAACTGTGTCCTTCTTTGTGGACATGAGAGATTGTGAAGACTTAAGCGGCCTCGTTCCCTTTCTTCCAATGTAGCTTTTTGCTCGCACTACTAAATTCTTCCAAATATAAGGTTACTATTATGGTGTTAACGCCCGTTATAACCAAGTTAGTAACAGTAGTATTTGAAAACAACGGCATTTATGCCCCCAAAAGGAAGTCTTCCCTAAGAACGGGCTTTCAGTTCGTAATGTCGGCTAGGCAAAATATAACGGGCTACAACTGACATTTATAACATTGGGATACGTTTTGATTTGGAAATTGGGAAGTATATGGATCATAAGCATATATAGTATTTATCTTGAGTAGTTCAAGAATCTTCTTGTTTTAGACTTTATGCATTTAAAAATACGTGTGAGTAGTTCAAGATACTTCTTGTTTTGGATTTTATGCATTTAAAAATACATGAGGAAAACTCAAAAAGATATGAATAGAAGTAGCGAGACTAGATATAGGAATTTATGGTTTTACATAGGGTCCTTGATAGACCAGAATAGCGGAATATGATTCGTATAGCTACTCCAAATAGTTCGTACAAGACTTTGATGATAGTAACATTTGAAAATATTTTGAGCTTGTAAGTGCCCAAGGACACAAAAATGAAAAGAACATAAACACACAAAGTGTGCATTGTGAGATTTATCAACAAGCCATACCACAATGCTTTTGTTAAGGATAGAGAAATAACTGACATCATATTGATGACTAACGAGACGATATATTCAATGAAGGTGGATGGGCTACCACGACTCATACACTAGCTTGACTTTGAGAAAGCTTATGATAGACTCAAATGGAGGTATTTGATGGAATTTCACTCGAGGGTGGGCTTTGGTGACAGAAAATGTGGATCTTTTGTTGTATGTCTTCGGGGCCATTACTTAGTTCTCAAGATCTGTTGCCTTTTGCTTATAGAATCTTAGATTATGTAGAGAATTCTCTCTCTTTCTCTCTCTCTCTCTCTCTATATATATATATATATATATATATATATATATATATATATATATATACTAGTAGTAGTTACGTTTA